TTCATAGGGATGAGTGTGTGTTATGAGCGTATGTTTGTACTGTGTAATCTAAAACACACATGAATAAATTTTAATCCTAGCCAGAATAACATCATTCCCTGAACCTTATTAACAAATATGTACCTCAATGTTGTTCTTGTTTTGTGGATCTTTGGGTTTTGGCTATGGCATTTCTTTTCCAAAATGTTGGGTATGGCATTTGTTATTCCGCAGCAAAGGACCCATTAGATCTATTCGGGTCTCGAAGCTAGTCCCAATGCTATATCAAAACCAAGTAGCTGGGTCCTGCTATCTCCTACTAATTAAGTAGCCAACAGAAAATGAACTTATTGGTCCTAAGTTCACCAACCAAGTTGCGTTTATAATTAATTTGTTCTTAGCTTGCATCTTGAGATCACACAAGAACTAACGTGAACATGTAGGCACCCAGTAGCTTGTAGCTAGCAGTACTGCTCATTACCGGCAACTAGCTAGCCAGCCTCTGGGAGACATTGCAAGACAGTCAACCTCATCACCAAGCTGGATTAGCCATTACAATACTGCGTTGGCTGAGGTTCGGGACGTGGTTACGGGGACAGGAGCCGCGGCAACGGGCTCATCAGTAGTGCCGTTTATCCCTAAACAATCACTAGCCCCTACTGTACCTCCTATTAATCCTATACGTACATGATGCTGCAAGTTGCATCAAAAGCAGCTACGTACAAGATGCATGATACATGGCGTCCAGGGCACTTCGTCGCTTGCCCGGCCTCTCGATCTGGACGCCCAGCAGAGGTAGCTAGCTTGGCACACATCTGCCGCAGCCTGTCGACCTTTTCTTCTTCTTCTTCTTCTTCTTCTTCTTCTTCTTCTTTTAATTCTCTATAAGAAGCTAGGCTATCCGTTGCTTAGTAGAGATCCGTACGTACATGTGTGACGACAGCACGCTGCAAATGAGCATGCGTCCGAGTGTACTTTCGTGCCCTCAGACCAGGGACGGGCTACATGCATGAGTTGGCCGCACGGAAGTGGCCGGGCAAAGCGGCGCCAAATGCCAGCGTGGCTAGCTGTTACCGGCCGTCGCAGATCGATGCCTCGGACGCGTGTGTCCTCTGCAGCAAATCGCCGGATCTGGACAATCCTCCTTGCAGTGGATACGAAAGGTGGTCAACCAAGGGGCCGTTTGTGCATGTTCGCCAGAGCTGCAATTGCCGCGTCGTTGCCGTGCCAAGACTGAACGGATCGACGTGCGCGTCCTCACTCCTCAAAGAGAAGCGCAGCGAGCGCACGGCGCGTGAGCGCGTCACAAGAGAGCTGCAGCATAGTACACGTACTCCTACATATCACAAGAGAGCTGACAAGATATGGACAAGGCTATCTGTCTCTGATCGAAATGGCGTGGCAGGTGATCGATCCACTGCTCCGATCTGATAACCGTCGTCGAATGTGCGGTGGTGGTTGGAACCTGAAAGGCATGTCAGGCCATCAGGGTGGTGTGTTTGTTCTTCTGCCGGTCCCGAACCCAAAGGACGTCGACGGCAGCGATCGATGAACCTGCTGGAATGCTGGTTCGTTCGTTCCATATAGGAATATGATCTTTGTTTGCGTTCTCAAATCATCATCAAATGATCATCCACGTACGTACGACACAATCGCCACATCTGATCCGAACCCATCTCAGTTTTTTCTACTCCTATTTATTAGGACTAGTAACGATCGTATAGCTAGGACAAGGACATGTGCCACGCGAGGTGTCTGTGTATGCATGCGAAGTGAGGTACGGGCGAGGACGAACGCCCCCGGCGGCGGAGGGGCTGGCGGGCTGTCGATCTCACCGGGAACCGCTACTGTTGCCGACCCATCTCCCGGCAGCGCACGCGCGCCATCGCGGCACACGCAAAGGCCCTCCCCCGCCGTGTCTGCGGGCCGCTGCCGGCACCCATTTGTTTCCAGGTGATCTGCTCGCCTGCCTCCCTGGCCGGCCCCGGGCCCGGCCGCTCGCTCGCAGTCGCAGGCTCTACCCTCCTTGGATGGGGGATTCGTCAGTTCACGCCGAGGCGAGTCACCAACCTTCGCTGAAAAACCCCTGCAACCGGATCATCTGCAATGCCTGATCTAACTTCAACCACGATCATATCGATGAGGCCTACTATAGTCAAACTCAAGTCATTCTAGAAGAAATTTTATTAATAAAGGAAGCCACGACAAAAGAAGTGATATTTTGTATAATTTTTTTAGTAAGACAAGTAGTCAAACTTAGTGTCAAAAAAGTCAAACGTCTTATAATTTTGGATGGAGGAAGTATCTCTGTACGTGCTGCGTGGATGATGGTTGTCTCGTTGTCAGCAGGAGATCGACATCAACAGCCAGCCAAGTCTTTGTTTTCCTCGATTGAGGGGGCTTTGGCGTGAAGCTACGATCGAGCAAGTTATCCGAGGATCGGCTGGTCCCAAAGCCGGCGAAGAAGAGGGGCGTTGAACGCAATACAAAATCCCCCCGCTGTTAGGGCCCCCGGAGGCAAGGTGAAAGCGCTGATTTTGTAGCGTCCACGTACAGTATCATACTCCACTACTAGGCACTACCGAAACCTGGGAAATTTTATTAGTAGGATCGACCTACATGTACAGCTGCTCCACGTTCAAACTGCAAGTCGTTTCTGTTTTGTCTTCGGTCTAACTCGTCTAACTTTAACCCATTTTATTTAAACTAAAAAATATCATTAAACGTACTATCAAACAATATATTCTAGCATGTTGTATATATATATCTAATAAATCTTGGTTGATGTTCTATTTTGGGTTAAGCGGCGGTCTTTGTCCATGACAGTTCTTGCCAATAATAATGGTACCATTAACCCAATACCTAAAACACTAGGATGTACTATGCTTTCTCGCTCCGAAAGAGATGCAATTCTCGTTTTTCATGGAGTTAAACATTTACATTTTAAGCAGATCAGTGGGTACGGGTGGGGGCAAAGAACACTACCCACCGGGGTCTCATAGTAGTAAATCAAAGATCTAGCCGCATGCCCCACTCGGCCTCAGGCCATACTCTTGTAGATCACTCTATTTTTTTCTTAATATAATGATACGCAATGCTCTTGTGTATTCGAAAAAAAAAATACTAACATTCATGATACTCCCAACCTCTCAAAAAGAATACAACTATGAAAGCTTAAGTTGACAAAGTTTATCGTGAATAATATTAATATTTATGTTTTTAATTAGGTTTAATGCAAAAATATACTTCACCGTTAATTTAATGGTACTTACTTTGTATTATAAATATTTGTAATTTTATAACTTTTTTTCCAATATAGACGAACCGAATTTCATTTACTCGGAAGCAACAAAATTACAATAGTTCGTAATAGCAAAATAAAACTGTACGGAACCTAATGTGAGGCCACGCTGGAATGAACACAGAGGGTTCGCCCAACTGGCGTTAAACGAACCATGAAACCGTCAAGTGTTTTAACGCAGTTTACAACATCACCAACCAAACAGAGCATCCAACCATGCACAAAAAGACTACCCGCTCAGACAATCGCCATCTTGTTGTCATCTCCATCCTTCCGTCCTTGCGGATGAAAGTGCAACGCCGTCCTGTTCAAAACTTTTGCGCCATGATCCAACTGCAAAGAGATCACGTCCTTTTGAAGCCCTGCCCAACCGCAGCTAAACCAGCAGCGTACACATGTTTGCCTTTTGGTAAACACCAATTAATCCAAACCCCCAAAACCGAGAAAACAAGTTAGGTCTCACTATTGCACCAAAGATATAATCAAGGATGCTCCAAACATATTTGCTCACAGGACATCAAAAAATAAATGGTTAACTCATCTTCCTGACAAAAAGCACAAGTTGGACCACCCTTCCATTTCCTTTTTAGGAGATTGTCTTTGCCTTTTCTATAAATTTGGTCAAATTTTAAAATGTTTGATTCCTCGAAAAGTGATAATTATATTTCTTTTTAGATGAGTGAGTACAAAATAAATATCATTAGATTAATTATGGAATATATATTCATAGTAAACTCTATTGAAGATATAAATATTAATACTATTTGTTACAAATTTGATCAAACTTAAACTAGTTTGACTCGTAATAGAGGGCGGAGGCGTACGAACCAATGCCACCATCGATTTTTTTTTCTCGAAAAGGCAGCAAGAGTTTTTCTGGATTTTTATTCAACGGGAAATGACACCATCGATTTGACGCTAAAAATTGTGGATGCACTGGAGTACGTCTTCACTATTTATTCTGACACTGCCCTGTCCTCATATACACACTCCCGATTTTTGTATATGAAAAGAATGTTGTTATGACAAACTCAAAAACGAAATAATAAAACCCAAGGCTCTGCTAGCTACATGCTCCACTTTTTTTCACTTTTTTTTGTGATCCACATTGCCATGCTGTCCCTAACGCATGATCACATATCAGTTCATGCAGATCGTATGCCAGGGCAACCTGAATCGCGCCGGAACCGATTGAACCGTTTTGCCACTTGGGGCCTGCACCTCATTTCCGTGTGCGTCGAACTAATACATACATACATCTCCATCAAATCGAAACCTCGATCGATCACATATTGACGTCATTAGTACATACAGTACGTGGGAGGGAGTAATTTCTTTTCCGAAAGAAACACACTCTCTCTAGTACGGAGTACTACGCATTATCCAGAATATAATCTCGATTTTTTTTCCAAAAGCGATATATATTCCATTTCGTACGCACGGGACAGGCGCTACAAGACACGAACAGTGCCAGCAGCAGGACAAGAGAGCGAGCCCTGGCCATCTATAAATATCGCACACCCACCTCTCGCTTCTGTCACACAAGAACACGAGCTCCAGATCGCACTTGCCTCCTTGAGCCACTAATCACCTGGCAGGCAGGCACTCTACAGTCTACAGCGAGAGAGAGGAAGAGAGCTTCCCTCGGTGTAAGCCCGCCTCATCACGAGCTAGGAGCTAGCTACAAGACAGACACCACACCACACCGCCAGATCGTGGCATGCCGGAGGCGCCGGTCACCACCATGCGAGAGGCGACGGCGGCGGCGGTGCCCGAGACGCACCGCGAGCTGCTCGAGTACATCGAGCACGTGACGGCGGGGGCGACCCAGGTGCAGCGCCGCGTGCTGTCGGAGATCCTGGCGCAGAACGCGCCCGCCGAGTACCTGCGGAGGCTGGGCGTCTCGGGCGACGCGCCGGGCGCCGTCGAGGCGTTCCGCCGCGCCGCGCCGCTCGTCACCTACGAGGACATCCTCCCCGACGTGCTGCGCATCGCCAACGGCGACACGTCGCCCATCCTCTCCGGCAAGCCCATCCGCGAGTTCCTCACCAGGTGAGTCGATCCGATCCGTGAGTCTATATAGGCTATAGCATGTGCATGTGGACGTACGTCGCACGCGTGAGCGTAGCGTGGATAGTAATGGCCGTACGTGGCATGCCGGCAGCTCCGGCACGTCGGGTGGGGAGCGCAAGCTGATGCCGGCGATCGCCGACGAGATGGACCGGCGGTCGCTTCTGTACAGCCTGCTGATGCCGGTGATGAGCCAGGCCGTGCCTGGGCTGGACAAGGGCAAGTGCATGTACCTCTACTTCGTCAAGGCGGAGTCGCGCACGCCGGGGGGCCACCCGGCGCGCCCGGTCCTGACCAGCCTCTACCGGAGCCGCCACTTCCTGGAGCGCCCCCACGACCCCTACACCGTGTACACCAGCCCCAACGAGGCCATCCTCTGCGTGGACGCGTACCAGAGCATGTACGCGCAGCTGCTGTGCGGGCTCGTGCACCGCGCCGACGTGCTCCGCGTGGGCGCCGTCTTCGCCTCTGGCTTCCTCCGCGCCATCCGCTTCCTGGAGCAGCACAGGCAGCGCCTGTGCCGGGACATCCGCAGCGGCACACTGGACGCCGAGGCGGTCACGGACCGCGCCGTGCGCGCCGCCGTGGAGCAGCGGGTGCTCCTCCGCGCCGACCCGGCGCTCGCCGACGCCATCGAGGCCGAGTGCGCCAGGCCGTCGTGGCAGGGGATCATCCGGAGGGTGTGGCCCAACACCAAGTACATCGACGTCATCGTCACCGGCGCCATGGCGCAGTACATCCCGCAGCTGGAATTCTACGGCGGCGGGCTGCCGCTCACGTGCACCATGTACGCGTCCTCCGAGAGCTACTTCGGCATCAACCTCAACCCCATGTGCAAGCCCAGCGAGGTCGCCTACACCCTCATCCCCACAATGTGCTACTTCGAGTTCCTCCCCTTGCCACACCCCGACGACGACGCCGGCGAGCCCGACCAGCGCGACCTCGTGGATCTCGTCGACGTCAAGCTCGGGCACGAGTACGAGCTCGTGGTCACCACCTACTCAGGTTGTACGCACTGTGTGCCTACTGATAGATGACAAGTTCAGTGCTGTGCAGTGACACTAACAACGCTAGCTGTGCAACCGTGTGACCCTCAGGGCTGTATCGCTATCGCGTGGGCGACGTGCTGCGCGTGGCCGGGTTCAAGAACCAGGCGCCCATGTTCAACTTCCTGCGCCGCAAGAACGTGGTGCTGAGCATCGACTCCGACAAGACCGACGAGGCGGAGCTGCACGCGGCGGTGAGCGGCGCGGTGCAGCACCTTGCCCCGTTCGGCGCGTCGCTGGTGGAGTACACGAGCTACGCGGACGCCGGGACCATCCCGGGCCACTACGTGCTCTTCTGGGAGCTCCGCCTCCGCGCCGCCGCCGCGGTCGGGGCCGTGACGACGACGCCCGTGCCGGCGTCGGTGTTCGAGGACTGCTGCCTGGCAGTGGAGGAGGCGCTCAACAGCGTGTACCGCCAGGGCCGCGCCACCGACCGCTCCATCGGGCCGCTGGAGATCCGGGTGGTGTCGGACGGCACGTTCGACAAGCTCATGGACTACGCGCTCGCCCGCGGCGCGTCCATCAACCAGTACAAGGCGCCCCGGTGCGTGCGCCCGGGCCCCGTCGTGGAGCTGCTGGACGGGCGGGTGCAGGCCAGCTACTTCAGCCCCAAGTGCCCCAAGTGGAGCCCCGGAGTAGGCAAGCAGTGGGGCAGCGACGCCGCCGCCGCCAAGAAGGCCGGCGGCGGCGGCAGCAATGGAGGAGGAGGAGGGGCGGTCGTCGTCGCGTGATGATCGAGCTATACGTACTAGGGGTTTAATTTGCTGGCTATTTCCGGAACCGTTAATGGGTTGTGGTCGATCGATTCGAGTATGATGAGATGATCTATCCGTGCACGTGAGATAAGAGGAGACTGTTTGTGCTTATCTCCGGACGGAGCATGCATCATGTCATCTATAGTCGCTAAGAGTCATCAGTGAGATAAGAGGAGACCGGTGCTACTACTACTTCATGTTCTAGTTTGCAGGGTACTACAGTATTGCCGTGTTAGGTTAGTGCCCCTTGCATTGAGTGTGCTGTCTGCTGTGCGAGTGGCGCACACCCGCGCTTGTTTGGCCCTCTTTCAATTTGGGATTTTTTTTTTATTTTTAACACTTTTTTAAACTAATTTTAAATCTAACACTATTTTTTTTAACTAACACTTTTGGCCACATCTATTGTCATGGCGCGGCGAAACGCCTGTGCCGCGCCATGCATGGTGGCGCGGCGGGTGGATGACGTGGCGACGACCAGAAATGCTGACCGGTGACATGGCAGGGCTTGCCGCGCCACCGATCTTGGCGCTGCAATGGCGCTACTGATCGATGGTGCGGCAGAGCGAATAAAGCGCCGCCAGCCAGATCCCCCTGCCGCGCACCCAGCGCCCGCCCGCGTCGCCCGCGCGCGCTGCCGCCGCCGCAGAACTGCCACCCGCCATTGCCACGCGCTGGTCGCGCCACGAACGCCGACACGCCACGCCATGCTGGCACCGCCTACGCCCGCACGCGCCCGGCCGCCACCCCCTCCGGCCACGCACGGCGGCTGCCCACCGAGGCTAGCGCCCGCGCCTCCCGGCCCGGTCTAGCGCGCCGCTGCCGCGAGGTACTCCCCTAGTGTATTTATTGATTGAATTGACATTGTTAGTATAGTAAGTTAGTAAAATAAATAAAGTTAGTATAATTAGTAAAGTATAGTTAGTATAGTTAGTAAAGTTAGTTAGTTTAGTTAGTATAGGTAATATAGTAAGTTAGTATAGATAGTTAAGTTAGGTAGTTTAGTTAGTACGGTTAGTGAGTCTAGTTATACATTGTATTTAGTCTAATTAGTTGTTGTAGTTAGCCTTGTATAAATATTAATATTAGACTAGTTAGTATAGTTATAGTTAGAATATGTATTAATATTACTATGTACATTACGTACGATGATTTCGACGACTTAATGAAGTTTCTTAAAATGCTTTTGCAGATGGATTGTTGTGTTAGAGTTTTTTCACGGAGAAAGTGTTAGGAGAGAAGATGGTATGTTTGAGTATATGGAAGAAGAATTGGAATAGTTTGATGAATCTCCTAGCTTCAACGACCTTTGTGTCCGTTTCAATGCAAAGTTTAGCGGTGATTTCACACTGAATGGGAGGTTTGATACTGGGAAGACTAGGGCACACTATGTCCTTATGCCCTTGCGTGACCCTGCTCATTGGTCCTGCTACACTAGGGTGCTCCAAGGTTCCAATGTGCCCATGGCTGAGGTGATGGTGGAGAATGGGTACAGGATGCAGGGTGTCTAGGACGGCCCGTCCATTTACGGTGTTGGAGGCAATGAACAAGAACTAGGGGTCCAAGGGGAAGCAACTCAGGGTAACATGGATTTGGACGGTCAGTTGACGTAGGAGCAGTTTCATTCAACTGCAGTAGGCTATATAAGCAATGACTTCGATGTGAATGAGTTCGAACGGGAAGAGGAGGAGCAGGAGGAGGAGGATATGCTCGGTGATATAGTTAGCAGTGATTCAGACGATTCTGATGATAACCAAGGAGGTACAGATGCTATGCCAACACTGGTTGATGCCATGCCAGTATCGGTTCATACTATGCCATTGCCAGTACCAACTAAGGTTTTGCATGGTATCCAGGCTTAGGGTAGACTAGTCATAGATTTAGCAGCAGATGATACCCCCTATGATTCATGGGCCAGAATTAGCAAAGCGCAGCAGTATGTTCCACCACCACCTTACATAGCGACTAAGCTTGAGCAACTAAGGTCGATGAACGTACCTTTTAGGGGCGTTCCGAACTATAGGGATGTTAGCATGACGAATATGGTAGTTTGTGACACCGGTCTCTAGATGTGTAGAAAATCATTGTATGACCATGAGAAAGAAACCCTTAGGAAGGGAATGATATTCAATACAATGTCAGAGATGAAGCTCTTCCTTCAAGACTATGATGTGTATCACCATAGGCCATACACCGTCACTCATTCGGATCAGGAGTTGAGGTACCACGTGATATGCAAAAATGGTTGTATGTGAAGGTTAAATGCACGAAAGAGACAGAGTGATGGCAAGTGGAGGATAAATAAAGTTGTCGAACCCCACACTTGCCTAACAAATAGGGGGAAGGAAAATCAGCAGCAGCTCACTGCGCGTTACCTTGCCCGTCGTATATTGGGACTCGTTGATGACAATAACGACATTTCGTTGTCTTCTTTACAATAGTCTATATCTGGATTCGTTAAGTACGATGTGAAGTACGGAAAGGCTTGGCGTGCTAAGCAAATTACCCTGGCGATTTGATGGGGTAGTTGGGAGGAAGCGTACAACAGGGTGCCCCGCATCTTATGTGCAATGCATTACTACAATCCTGGTTTGAAATGGTTTGTGAACATTGGAGGGATGTGTTTTCGGGACCTGTTGAGGCATGTCCTCTATCGTGTGTTCTGGTCGTTCGCACAAACAGAACATGCATTCTAGTTTTGTTGGCCAGTCATACTTATTGATGACACTTTCTTGATAAGAAAGTACAGGGGCACCTTGATGATGGTTGTTGCTGTTGATCCTGAGGACCAGATAGTACCCATAGCTTTTACTTTGGCAGAGGGAGAGAACAATGAATCGTGGTCATGGTTCATGCGGCTTCTACGTGTACAAGTGCTTGGTCCATCTCACACTATATGTTTGATCTCGGACCATCACCCAGGGCTTCTTAATGCTGGAGTTGAGCATATAGATGGGTTCCCGCCTCTAGTGCATAGATGGTGCATGAGACACTTTGCCGCTAATTTCTGATGGCGTTAGAGGAAGCAGGAGGTATGTGACAAGGTAAAGGCTCTATGTTGTGTACGTACAGAGCACCAGTTCAAGGAGATAAAGAGAGAACTAGACAAGATGGTAAATGAAATGGGAAAGGCCTGGTTAGAGGCGCGGATGGAACAAAAGGCTCAGTGGGCGTTAGCATATGATGCGGGGGTTTTAGGTATGGCATCATGACCACTAACTCCTCGGAGTCCTTCAACCGTGTATTCACCGGAGTTCGATCGTTGCCTGTGTCCAGAATTGTTGAGTTCTCCTTTCATAAGTGCAACGAATATTTTGTCAAGAGGTGGGAACTTGTGCAGAGGAATATAGCTGAGCATGGGCATTTTGGAAAGGCCAAGGCATTGGCCAAGCAGCACACCGCCGAGCCGTATGGACCCCGCTGCCATATCTTTAGTGTACGGAGCAAGGGTGGCACAAGCTTGGGCGGCGAACGTTATGGTGGTCGAAACTACCGAGTTGATCTTGAAAATGTAGAGTGCAGTTGCAACATCCCTCAGATCATGCATGCCCCTTGCTCTCATATGATCATGGCCTGCAGGGTTCGTGGGTACAACTATGAGGATCTGCCATATATGCACCCTTGTATCTCCGTTCGAACACCGTTAGTATTTGGGAGATGAGCTTCGAGCCATACCTTGATCCGACACAGTGGCCACCTTATAATGGTTATGACACGTGCAACATCCGGTTCTAATAAAGGTAGGGAAGGGTAGGAGGAAGAAGAAGCGACTCAAGGGGGACATGGACGCTATGAGAGGGTACGACGAAGACATGTATGGAGGGGGAGACTTCAACGAGACCCATGGCAGGAATCTTTGATCTGTTTGTAAAGAATCTGGTCACAAGGCTAGCAGGTATAGAAGACGAGGGCAATAGGTGCTTTCATATTGTATTTGTATTGCATAACAAGTAGTTCAAATTTTGCAATGGTACATAATGTTAATTTGAATACTCTAACCCTTTGTTTATCAATTTGTAACAGGGTGGTCCCTCTCACGCCGCACCAAATGTACGCCCTTCTTGAGGTGGACTACGACGATGAGGTTTTCGAGCGGCGTCCGAGGGATCCGTATGTCGAACTTATGTCGAACGAATAATATCATCCGAAACTTACAGACTCATGAACCAATAAAAATGTTATGTGGCAACTTGTCAACTTGCGCATGGACTCCATTTATTTGCTTCATATTCATTTCAACTTGCGCACGGTCGCAGCAACACTTGTAGTTGTTTACAGCACCGACATCATCTCCCGTTCAATTATAATTGAGGCTGGTCAGCTTATGTCTGTATCCAGGACCTACCGCGCCATGGGGCTTGGCGCGTCAGTGCCGCGCCGTGGTCTATGGTGCAGCAGAACCTGGACACAGACAGAACGGATTTTGTTCATTTTAGAAATTCTCAATGCATTCGCTATTATTAAAAAAACTTGGAGAGCAACAAATGGATAGGTTGGAGGGTGACAAATGGATGTGATCACTTAAGATCGACCATTGGTAATCCGAGTACATGATACATGGGTACAATACATCAATAGTTTAAATGGAAAACAAGACAACACAATAAAAGTTCTGATACACGGCGCAATTCAAAAACCCTCAGTCAGAAACATACTGAATAAGCAACTCGTCGTCCGAGTATCAATCCTCTACCACAACCCTGTTGCTATGGCTAGGGTCACCTGCATTGCCCTGATCTGCCTTTCGCTTGTAGTAAGTGGCCTCTGCTTCATCTGCGGCCTCTATGGCCTGAGTGAAGAACGCGTCGTCATCTTTCTCCACCTGCAAGCCCGCCTCTGCTAGAGCGATGAGCTCGTTCAGTATGCCAGTGTCATCCTCAACCTCCTCTGCCTGCAAGCCCGCCTCTGCTAGAGCGATGAGCTCGCTTAGTCTACCAGTGTCGTCCTTTGGTTCCTCCACCTGCAAGCCTTCCTCTGCT